CACTCAGCTCCCACCACCATAGAAACCACAGTAAATTTCAAATGCTATATCTACAATGCATCAACAAAATGACCGTATAAATAAAGCACCGGCTCATTTCTACGCGGAAGCTCAACTAAATGTACAAAGACACAATGAAATTCGTAAATTTATGCCACAGATTGTGCGGTCAATACACATGCATGTGATGACTTAAAAACCGGAGCTTCTTGTGCATGGTCTACCCTTGAATTACAATAGCACACTCTACCAGGCTACCATCGTCGTTCTTAGAGTTTTGAAATTCAGAGATGACCATGATTTGCTAGAAATCATTTCTTCCACAAGTCTTCCTTCAACTAACATGTTATCCTATCACAGATAATGGTTCTATTACTCATACTACTTTTAACATTTTCATTGTAAACCATACTATATCTACATAAAATTTTTCACAATCTCTTTCCTTTTATTGTCCCATTTCATGGTTTAATTGAACTTTCTATTGCTTTCTCTGCTTTCTGTGAAACCTTCTCCTCACGATCACTTCGATAAAATTGACAATTCTGTCCTAATCCAATTGATTATGTAAAAGCTCTCTCAACACCATAACTCTATTTTCTTCTGTAATATTCCTTCACCCTTAGTTAATACCCTAAAGCGCATTTTTTCGTCAGTCGTCTTCGAATCGTTTGACGAGTTTGCACCGATGCGTTTAATAAACATCTCTCCCAAAAGAAATCCATAGGTCTCAGAACAATTTCGCTCTCGTATGCGTTCAAGAGATGCCGCATTTAAGCGTGCCAAGAACACTCGAAATCCTGATGCCTACCTTCACTATAAAACAATAAGAATTTTAATCTCCAATCAACTTTAACAAGCAGAACAACCCTAAGTTTAAATAGCGTACACTACATGATATTAGGATTTCTAACACTCTTACTCTATCCGTTTTTATTTTTCTCCGCTGAAAAACAATCCCTATACAATAGTTACAAATCGGTTCCCACCTATAACACAAGAAATGTTAGTCGGTATTTTCATCCTCCGCATTACAAATATCTTTTTATTTCCACTTTTCTACTTATGAAATGTTACTTCAAGAGAAGTTCAGAACGAGATTAAAACTTAGACCTCCGAAGGCAGAGGCCTCGACGACCTGACTGCGAGTATGCTAGCTCTCGGCTCGAAAATTTTGACACCACATCTCACAATAGTTATAACCAAGTTTATTAATATATCCACTTCCCCGTAGAGAAAACCTACGTCATTCGTAGAGGAAACCTCTAGGTCAATAATTGCGTTCTGTTATTATTTCAAATGAAATAAATATCACACGCTCTGACTGCGCAATATTTACTAAATTGTCTGCTCTTCTCTATTTTTTTTCAGCCTCTACACCCTAATTTATCTTAACTCGAGTTCAAATCCGCATACTCGACTGAATTCTTTCTTCGTGAATCAAGAGTGTATTCCTTTTTCCTATATTGCCGCCTGCATATTTTTTCCCCCACTTGTAGAGACATAATTGATGAGTATAGTTCAATTACTCGACCACCAGATTACGCTTTAATATATACTAAAACGACGATACGCTCGTGGCCTGAGTATTAGTCAATTCTTTATGATCTTTATCGAAAAGCCTCGTTATTGACTTTTTCTGCACGCTCTCATATTTTCTATACATTCTTTTTTACTATAAGCGCGTTTTGAAATATATCAATTACCTTTATTTTGAACTTAAAAAGTATACAAATGTTAATTTAGTGTTGGTTCAATGTAGACTGTTTATATTATAGCTCCATTCTTTACGACCGTTAATAAGATATTTTTCAATTATTTTACTCTGTACAAAGACCTCCGATATTCCTAGGATCTAGATACGTATATTTTCAGTGTTTTTCGTTGCCTGCATGTAGATTTGTTATTTTTAAATCTGCTGTTATTATATAGTGAACCATAATCCACTAAAATCTGTATGTAAATTATCCTGAATTCTGTTATAACATAGTCAAGAATCAGTAATTTATGAACCCATAATGATGAAATTAGAATTCTGTTTTTTTATTAAAAACATTTTCATTTTACAATATTATTGTGTGACAGCCGGCTGCAATTTAGTTTTTTTTTAATCCTAATTAATTAATAGAAATTAATATTAAGAATGGAATGAAAAACTTCAAGGTATATAAAAAGAGCAAGATTGAGAGTCGCTACTAAGATTTCCCATGAGGAAAGCACATCTGGAATAACGTGTTGATATAAAACCTGATAGTGGCCCAAACATGTGTACCCGGTCTTATAATCGCTGCCTTATCCTGCTTTGTCTAACTCGCATGTGTTGACACGAGCTTATGATCATCACGTATATATCTTGAAGCACTTTCCCGCCAATAAGAAGAGGGGCCATAAAAATACAATCTATCTTTTTTTCCCACTAAATTTTTTCTTTATAAGAAACTTTGCAATTTACCATTAAGATCGAATGAAATAAAATTGTTAAGATTCGGAAATTTTTCTTATTTCAATTATTAATAGATAATTATAGCTTCCTGAAACCTATAATCGAGTTCTTATTCTGAAAATCATTTTAGTCAGAAAATAAAGAAAACACTAAGGGAATATCCATAATATTAAATGGGTTTTAATCAATTTTGTAAGTTACTATTATAGGAAATCAAATAGTGATTGTTCTAATAACCATTATGCGCATCTTTGTGACGGGCGAATCGATCGTTGAGTTCGATCGCCCTGTTCGCCTCTCTCTCTCTTCCGCGTGCCTTCCCCTGAGCCGCTGCCACATTGGTCTCAGTTGAGGAAAACCGAGTATCGACGCACGATGTGGCTTTGTTGCAGATTTTATTCCTGATCGGTGGAGATGCCTGGAGTTGGAAGGATGGAGCGAGAGCGGGGAGCAGAGGAGGTAAGAGAGAAGTAGTGTCGCCGGCATGAGTCGCACGTGTGTGCGTAGCCGGCGGTGCTCGGCCGTTTTGGGTACCTATAGAGAGGGGTGCGTAAGACGTCGCGGAAAGCGCGAGATCACGGGAGTAGTAGGGCTTTGACCAGCAACGAATTCCGAGCTAGTTGAGCCTTGCGACTGAAAAGTGCGTGAATAGTTGATTGCCATCGAGTGAACAGCATCGAAAAGGAAGACCAGCTGCATCCACCTAGAGATCCACCGTTTGAGGACTACATAGTGCACCCAGCCGACGTGGACTTTTACAACAGCGCTCCCTCCTAAGGTCAGGTACCATTTTTCGTTTCTCGGTGCGCGCCTCGATTTCTCTCTCTACGGACATCGTATCGGCCGGACGTGAACGAGTGGCTGCATGCGTAAATTCGTATTGCACTCGCGGGAATTCGCGGAACAGTTGTAAGGCGATGTTCGGTTTCCTGTGCGTTAATTCGCACGGAACAGACTAGCCCGGACTTGGCCGACGCACACGTCAACGCCGTATGTAAATTGCTGTTTTTAATAAAGTGTAAATATATCCGAAATGATGAGTTTATTTGTGCAACCTGTTTCTCTTGTAATTAGGTAAATCGCGATTGTCGATACTACCGGACGACATAAGCCCTCGTTAATTTTCCGTGACGAAGCAAATGTGCCTTCCGAGACTTTCCCCTTAAAATAATTTGTGACGCGACGTTGTTCGGACTTATTTCCCATACGGAATTCAAAATTATTAACGTATGTGTTACATCTTTTTAAGATATATTATTTATCCAGTTCAATCCATGCAAGAACAAAATAACTAATAAATAATTTCATTTTTAAGCAATCATGTTTTAAGCGAAAACAACAATAGAACTATAATGCATTTTATTATAACTCTTTGAAGTTTATGGACTTTTCTAAATGTTTATAATAGTTAATTATTTAATAGTAATTTATAGTTATAATAATTCCCTCACTATTAAATAATCACCATGTATCGTTAAAATTAATTATTACGATTTTTTGCAAATAATTGTAAATCATAGCGTCACTCTAGCTCTCGAACGTGGCACTCTAAGAGCCATCTCTAAAGAAAAAGACCCAAGTTAAGAAAAGCCCGCCTTATCTCTTTTTGAAAACTCACGCCTTCCGACCAATTACAAATACTAAATCGGATAAGAAAAATTTTCCCATCAATATAGAAAATTTAATCGTCATAATGTCATGGGCCAGAAGAAGAGCATTTCCACCCAACCACCCACTGCTTATAAAAAGCTCTGTACAAGACCGCGGGACCAGTGCTGCAGGAAACACAGAAGGATAGAAAAATTTTTTGAGATGAATCAGTAGTGCAGAGTAGTGCCAAGAACTCAACAAAGTCAGCCAAATGCATCTAGAATTGAGAGAAACAGATAGAGTTCAAAGAGCAGAGAGTACCTAGCCTATGTATAAAGCAATCTAATAAAATAAAAAATAAATAAATTTTGTATGTGGCTATCTTTTCTTCCTATCCTTCCTTTTTTCTCAATCTCTAGTTCCCCTTTCTTTCTAGAAATTCGTTAAGCGTGAGTCAACAATATTGCTCCTCCTGGCTTATGCGTTGCACGCAAGCCAAATCAGATCAACCGTGAGTTTACGCTTACTCCCAGCGTATCTGAGAGTGACCCCGACGTCACAATTGTGCTTAAAGACACTTATATATCTATGTATCAATATAGTTAGACATGTATTTTATGTGGGATCCGTCCTACCAGTGCGGCAGATGAAACATATAACAAATTTTTTTTCGAAATAATTGACAATGGCGCCGTTCAGAAGTTGGTCACATACCCTCGGCATCAGAAACTAAGTCCTAATTTGCGGTGCCACCATGATAATAAGATGTGTGATATTTCATAGTTCATAGTATACTTACTTCATAGTATACTTATACTTTTTTAATAGGCAGTATAACAGTAGAAATATATATTTAAGAGAAAATATATCATTAATTTATTTTTATTTTTCTAAAAAATCAGTTGAAACTCGTTTCAGCTATCAATAGAATAAGAGTCATGAATGATTAATACATAATTTTTTCTAGATAACACATGAAAAGTTTACGAAGGAACAATCATCATGTGGGAGTTCTCGAGAGCAAATGCTTTGTAAATTAGCTGCTGCATATGATGTATTCAAGGATTTGAAAAATAATTTGCAAGAAGGCGTAAAATTTTACAATGATTTAACACAGGTATCCAAGACATTTTTTAGATTCTTCATTATATTAATGATATATTAATTCATATTTATGAGAGCCCTTTTTCCAACAACAACTACTTTTGGAAAATGATAATCTATTTCAAATATTTCTAAGTTTTGTAGCTTACTTGCATGCAATTTTACATTACTAAAAAGTTGTGTTGTGAGAGAAAGAGTTTCAGTCACTGATCTAAAATCTAAACATTCAGACTTGCATATATTTTATATAAAACAAATAGTTCAATCCGTCACTTCACATAATTGTAAGTTAAGTATATTGATATATGTTCAATTCATATATATGTATATATATATATATGTATCTCGTACGTATACATGTATTCATATAGAGTACGAGTATATGTAGTACTGTAGCGATCAGTATAATAATCTAGATCTAGAAATATACCGTCAACGTTTTATAGATATTATACGTCTATGTAAGCACGAGGAGACAAATTTTTTTAATTTTGATATAGGTGAATAACAGAAATATAATGAAATATGTGAATTTTTATACCTCAAATAACATGTTCAAACTATATTAATTAATTTCAAAAATTTTTTCGGGAAATGGATGGCAGTTACAATTTTTCATTTAACTGCATTGAATTTAGAAAAAGAGAGTTACGTATTATTGAGAAAATAAATTTATAAATTTATTATCTCTCAACATTATTCTTAAATATTTGGTACATATTTTCAATGTATTCTTTACGTATGTAGTCTTTACGTAAGCGAAATCCTACTATAAACTTAGATTTTCATAAATAGTTGTAGAATTCTGAACTGAAATTGAGTATATTGTAACAGGCTGCCGTTTAACCGTTAACCTATCAAACCTATTTGTTATTTCGGTCAAACGACGCCTTGTTATCTACGTGCCGTAAGCACGTCAACCTACCTTGTCCGGGAGTGCGCCTGCGCAGAGTTCCCTCGCCATTTTTGCGTGAACGATCCTTTTTTTTATAAAAATACAAAGTCACCTTACTTTTTGAACACACCTCGTATAAGCCTAAAAGGAGACTATGTTGAAAAATAAAAAAGATTTATTAAAAAAAATCAAGTAGTTTTTATTTTTGCACGGACTTTTCAAACGACCCTCGTACCTGTGCATTCAGCTTTCACATGGCCGAAGCCCGTCACTGTCAGTCGTTTCCGAACGCGGCAGTGCACCCAGCCAATTCCGATCCGACCACGCCGAAGCAATGCATCGGCTTCCCGCGATTCTAATTCGCAGACCGCCATATACTGCTCAGTGCGGTTTGGACCGAAAATGTGGACTCGAAAGTCCGTGTCTCGTCCCGTTTCTCGTCTAAGCGCGTCCGTCACCTCTTTCGGAGTCGCAACGCAGTCCAGATCCATGATCTCCAATTGGACCTTTGAGGTCATGGCCCTAACACTGCCCGCTTCCCCGATCGTATTTGGGATCTGTCGTCCAAACATCTTACGTGCGTCCGGTTTGTCTGCGTCTACCTGTAGCTTCAGAAGACATAAACCGTTCTTGGTCTTCCTCAGGGTTGTCATCTGCACGTGGCTCTCCTTCGGGTCGATCGTCGTTCGTATTTTCCGTACTATATCAGAGTATATCGTGTCCGTGCCCGGCCTGATCAGGACAGCCAGACCCCTTTTCCGGTGGGCCGGTCCGCCTCTGTCAGACCGATTCTTTACGTCCGTTTTCTTTTTTGTCTTATCTGATCGTTTTCGTGTTACCGTCTGCCAGTCCTTGGTCGGTTCGATCGTCGGTGGCCACTTTTGTGAGGGCTCCGGCATGGTTTCAACCAGCGAACGATTTCGTTTCGTCCGTGGCCTTTCTTCGTTATTCGCCGCTGTCCTGTCTGTATTGTTGTTGTCTTGGGAACGTCTTTCCGAAACTGTGTCCGATCGCTTGTGCAGCGCGATGTCCACAGTCTCGAGAATTGTCTTAATTCCCGTCTTCTCTGTCATGTTCATGTTCTTTTGCATGTTTGCTGCCTTGGCCATCTTCGTCGCCGTTTCGTATTCGTCGTCGCTTGTATGAGCCGCAGCAGTTCCGTCACGTCTCGTGTATCGTTTGTTATTGTCGGTGTTCGTCCTGTCGTCGGTTCTTGGCTGTCAGCGGTAGAGAAGTAGCTCACCCCGCTGCCGCCGCTTGACACACTGTCCGTCTTCTGTCGTCTCGGTAAGTTCAGTAGGTTCGTGTCGTTTTTTCGTGTCATTCTCCCCATTCCCGTGCACAAAGTACGGCCCTCAAAATCCGTGCCGCTGCCCGTGGCCACCGGGGCTTTCTCCCGATCGGAGCCCGGTGTAGATTCCTCCTGAGAAGGAGTTACCACTTGAGGTACATGAGTGTTTTCATTGTGCATTTTTCATAGTTTTGTATCCCGTTATGCTATGTAAGTGCCCATAGGCGAAACCGGGCTTCGTTCACGGAGAGAGCCTGTTTAGAGAGATCCCCTTCACTCGCTTTCGGGCAGCTCCGTTTATAGGAGTCTCCGACCATCCGCTTTTCGGTAAGACCCGTTTATAGGGTCGCCGAGCATTCACTTCCCTGGTTTGCCAGAAGGCGTGTGTGTGTGAGTGTTTGCGTAGTGTGTGTGTGTATATGTATAAGTGATTAATGGCTGGACACATCAGCAGAATACCATTATCTTTGGCGTCATTTGTAAGCCATATCTTCCTCTTGACCGCGTCCGTTATAGCGTTGCTGCTCAGAGTATTGACGCGACGGACAACGTTTCCACCGGGCACGTCGTGGACGTTGGAAGCTATCATTTGCCTAGTGAGGTGTTACCACTCACTAGACCAGCCCGGCATTATTATTATTATTATTATTATTATTATTATTATTATTATTATTATTATTATTATTATTATTATTATTATTATTATTATTATTATTATTTTTTTTTTTTTTTTTTACAAGGAGTTGCGGAATCCTTTTTGCGGATTCCCCTTAGTCTTGATCTAAGGAGGTATGTGGGACTCCCCAAAAAAAAAAGACAGGCCTACCCACTAAACCGCCATCTCCTTGTTGTCCTTCCCCCAGCCAGGGACTATGTTGATATTACTTCTGACTGGGGGTTCTGTCTGTGTTCCTTCGTTCGTATCGTTTTACCGTGCGTCGTTACGTCGCGTCAATCCGTCTGCTCAGTCGTCCTTCAGACAGTCGTCCGCGTTCTTACGTCTTAGTATGGTTTCCGTATAGGTAGCGACTAAACGCCACCATTCGGGTTTATGCAGCATCACCTCTACAATGTTATCGGGGGTGATGTTGCCAACTGTTGTCTCTAGTTCTCGTCTGAGTCTTGTCCAGCGGTCGCACCCGAAAAACGTGTGTTCCGCGTCGTCTCGTTCGTGTCCACAATACTTGCAGTCGGGTGTTCGTACTCGGTTCATATTGTGGAGGTACCGTCGAAAGTACCCGTGGCCCGTCAAGAGCTGGGTGACGTGAAAATTCACATCACCAAAATTCCTTCCAAGCCACGGTCTCACGTCCCGTATCAGTCGTCTCGTCCATTTGCTACCTCGTTCTTCTGTCCATCGGTCTTGCCACATGTCGATCGTCCTTTCGCGTTCAACGATTGCCGCGTTCTTTCGTCCTATGTCTGCGCTGCTCCCATAGATCCTTTTGCGTTCCGAGGCAAAAAGATCCACGGGTATTACGCTCGCCACCACCAGGACAGCCTGCGTAGAGACTGTTCGGTAGGAGCAAGCGATTCGCAGAGCGCCCTGTCTCTGTACCATCGTCATTGTCTTACAGTACTTCTTTGTCTTCAAGGAATCTGCCTATATTTCCGCGCCGTATAAGAAGATCGAGTGAGTTGTCGCCATTAGCAGTCGCCGCTTTCCTGGTCTCGGTCCCGTCGTGTTTGCCATCAGGCGGCTCAAGGATGTTATCCTCTCTGCCGCTTTTCGGGCTGTCTTCTGTATGTGAGGCCAGAAGGTCATCTTCGTATCGAGGGTTACCCCAAGGTACTTGACTTCCCCTTTGGTCTCCGTTTGTTATGTACCCACTCTCATCGTCTGTATGCGTCTTCTCGTGAGAAGCATAAGTTCCGTCTTTTCTGTTGCGAGTTGCAGTCCGTGTTCTGTCATCCATCGTCCAACTCGTCTCATGGTCTGGTTCAACGTCAGCTGCGCCAGCTCGGGAGATCTCTCCGTGATCACCGCCGCCACGTCATCAGCGTAGGCGACGAGGGTCACTCCAAGTGGCATCCCAAGCCGAAGCAGACTATCGTATAGACCATTCCAAAAGTCGGGTCCCAGTATCGACCCCTGAGCCACCCCAGCGGTGACCTGTCTCGTTACCTGTCCTTCGATCGTCTCGTACGTTATTCGTCTGTTTCTCAGATAATCCTCCACAACCCGAAGCAGGTACGGTGGAATCCGAAAGTTGCTTTTCAGCGCCTCCAAGATATCCACCCACCTGGCCGAGTTAAAAGCATTTCTGATGTCGAGCGTCGCTAGCAGCACAATGGGTCGCGCCGCATGGCAGTGTCTGTCTAGTTCCAGGAAAGAATCAATCACCTTTTGGATCGCTCCAATCGTCGACCGACCCTTCCTGAAGCCGAATTGCAAATCTGAGAGACCCCCTCCGGCCTGTATCGCGTCCGTCAGTCTCGGTCTGAGTAATTGTTCAAAGAGTTTACCAGTAGTGTCAAGTAAACTCAACGGCCGGTAGGCCGAAGGAGTGCCAGGGTCGCCCCTACCTTTTGGAATAAGAACGAGCCTCGCCTCCTTCCACCGATCGCTGAACGTTCCTGTCGTCAAGCACGTATTGTACAGGTCGAGAAGTATCTCCGGCCGTAGACGAGCCACGAGCCGGAGGATCTCGGATGGTACTCCGTCCGGTCCCGGTGCCTTACCCGTCTTCATCGCATTCGTTGCTCTGATGAGCTCCTCAGCGGTAAAAGCGGGGGGCATTTGTGCGTCCACGTCATCTATCACGTTTGTCCTAATCGAGTGCGTCGGAAACAATCCGTCAACAATCCGTCCTGCTGTTTCGGCATC